GTGGTGGCTCACGCCTGTAATCCAAGCACTTTGGGAGGCTGAGGCGGGTGGATCACGAGGTCAAGAGATCGAGACCATCCTGGTCAACATGGTGAAACCCCGTCTCTACTAAAATTACAAAAATTTAGCTGGGCATGGTGGCGCGCGCCTATAATCCCAGCTACTCAGGAGGCTGAGGCAGGAGAATTGCCTGAACCCAGGAGGCGGAGGTTGCAGTGAGCCGAGATCGCGCCATTGCACTCCAGCCTGGGTAACAAGAGCGAAACTCCGTCTCAAAAAAAAAAAAAAAAAATTTGTGTTTGAGAGAGAGACAGGCAGAGGAGAGAAATGCTCTATGTCCTTGGCTGTCATTTTCTCTTCATTGCGAGGCATGAAGGAGAGAACAGCATGAGCCAACCACAGGGAATTAGAAGTTGAGGGGGCTTGAAGGGAACAGCTGTTTTTAGAAAAGGTGACAAAAGCAGGCAAGACTTAAAGGCCTGGCCTTGGCAGTAGTCAGCTGAGGGAGAGAGATAGTCAGTCTGATTTCTTCTTGTGTGGTTGCCCTGGAGGTAATTGTGAAAAATCATGATAGTCCCTCCTATATAGGGCTAGGCTAGCATTTTTTACTTCCTTAGGGCATATATGAAAGCAGTTTTCCTGGGATTGGGCTCAACTTGCTCTTCTGTGTTCCCTTTTTCTTCTCACCCTCTGCTGCATATCTACACATCCAGTTTTTCCTGCCAGCGAGCTCCTCCTTTTCTCCGGCTGCTAGTCCCAGCTGTCATCTTTGCCTCCCATCCCCCATCCCCAGTTATGCAATTTTTCATTATGCTTCTCCTGGATTTGCTTCCTCCATTTTTAATGCTCTGCCTGCTACCCACTCCAACATCAGCTTCTAGGCTCTTCCTCCCTCAAAGCCAGTAATTACTGTTTCGTTCCCCCCTTTATCATTGTTGCTGTGAATGCACTGATATTAATACTTCCTGAAAACTCTTGCAGATCTTAGCCCAGTCACTTAAGACAGTGGGTGGAGACGATGGTGGGGAAGAGGGTGGGGTGGGAGTTGTTTTCTGAAATTTAGGGTTTTTCCAAAATATTGGATGACCCTTGACCTAGAGAGAAAACAGATGCTTCTGTTGGCCTCCCAACTTTAGGCAGTGTGTGCTCTCTTGTTGAAGGTACATATTTGTTTGAAAACCCTTAGTAATGAAAGGCAAGGCAGTGAGTCAGTCTCTGAACCTCCTGCTGCTGCTGAGTGCTGGTTCTTTTCCTGAATTGAAGCTAATTTTGGATGGATAATGAGGTGGATGGTTGCTAATAACTTTCCCTTGCTAAATGTGATTTCACAGCACTGTGTTAAGAGGATTATTTTCTTTTCCTCTTCTTTCTTTTCCATGCTGTTTGGAGGGGAAATAGATTTGTTTTCATGGTTTTTGATGAGTGTTCAGCTATCAAGGAATTCCTTAGTTTGTTTAGAGGCAACACAGTTTGTTGGAAAGAACCCTAGACTAAGTTGAAGAACTGTGTTCTAGTCCCAGACCTGCCCAGGATTAGCTGCCTAAGTGATCTTGGGCAAGTTGTGAACCTGTCTCCTCACCTGCCCTTAGAACCTTGTGGAACTGTGTGAATGAAATGAGATGTGATGTGTGTGGAAGCACTTTGCAAACTGCAAAGTTTTATAAAAATTTCTGCTGCCCTTTATTAATTTGGCTCCTGACTACAACACCAGATAAATGTTTCCAATGTCTTATAAATTCCTTCCTTCTCTGAAGCCAGCCTTCTCCAGAGCAGGGCATTGGAATCATCAGAACCAGAGGCAGTCTTGCCTCAGAGTCATCTTTTCTTATCTGTTCACCCTCCCCTAGTTGCTTTTAGGAACTCTTTGACTCAGTGCTTCTCTATCTCTGTTCCTTAGTAAGATTATACTTTTAAGGAGTTAGTGGTCATAGTATGTTGCACAATTGGTCAAAGGTTCCCAGCTTTTTCTGGCCAAGAATTATTATTTATTTATTTATTTATTAAACTAAATGGTGACAAAGCATATCTTTAACTTTTAAGTAACTACAAAAATCTTTTCAGGCTAGTGAGACACATTGACTGCAGTTGTGGTTAAATGTTTAGAGACCATGCCTTCACTTGGGACACCTTTGGATTCCAGGCCAGATTCTCATTATTAGCTTGTGACTGTGGGCAAAATATTTAACTTTTTTGGACCTTAGATTCCACATCTTTAAGGGAATTATAATGGCACTTATCACATAAAGCTGTTGTGAGGAGTAAATGAGATAATGAATAAAGTGCCTAACATATAACGCATACTTAGAAAATGTCACTATATATGTCTAATAATATAAGAATGGCCTTCAAAGAGAGCACAGAAAAATGTCCATTGTTGGCATTTTAAAGGGTTTTTTATCTTGTGTTTTAAAAGTTTGTTTAAACATACATCATATAATTTACTAATGCAAAGAACATTTTTGTCTTGGTCCCATTTTCCTTGATACAGGTAGAAAATTGAACTGATTCAGATCAGCATTCCTTCCTCTTAGCAAGAAGTCTTGCCTAGGGTGGCATGATCAGGCCAGGTGACTCGCTTAGTTGTGTGCAGTGGGAATCACAGTCAGACTATTTATTGGCTACCTATGAATTGTGCGGTATTGGGACTTGGGGGTTACAGTGGAATTGGGTGGCTTCTTGGTGAAAGGATACTTTCAGACACCCTTTTTACATTAGCATGGTCAACAGATTGACAAAAAGACTTAAGTTTAGGCCTTCTTTGAAGTACAATACAGAAGAAGAGAAAAAGTACAAAAGAAATCCACTAACAGTTCTAGGGCATAATCAAGTACATAATTACAGCATTTGAGAGGCTGAAACTCCCCAAGTTCACAGATAATGTGATAATAAGATAATTTGTGATTACCACTTACGGTCAAGAATATGGTTAAAACAGAATAATACTTTTACTGCATTTCAGGGATTTACTGATACCCAGTTTTCTCTGGTGATTGAACCAGTAGTAAAATGAATGAAACCAGCTTCCTTTACTTTACTTCTTTCTTTATATTAGCTGGCATTGGCTTTGACAGGTGGGCAGGTGGTAGTTTGTGAGACTGAGACATGGCTCCTTGGATACCACTTTATTTGGCAATGAGCTCAGTTCTTCATGCAGGGGCTTGGGGTCTCCTTTCTGTAATTCTAAAAGTTCTCCTTCATCTGAGAATGACATCTATTGGGCTTCTTAGGGCCTCTGGTAGATACTTCCTAATGAGGAATGCATGCTGGATCCAAGGAGGTAGTTTAAAATGGCATATTAAAGGCAGAACGTTTAGTCTAAACCTGTTAATCACTGCATTCCTGTGCTCCCCAGATTCTAAAAAACATCAGGAATTGAAAGACTAGTATGAATTTGGAGGTCTTGGCCTCAAGTTGAGCAAATACAGTACCTCCATTAATGTTCGTAGTCCATGGCGTGAGGTTATCACCAAAGGCAAATACTGCTATGGATGTATACAGGAATTTTTCCACTTAGTAACCTCCATTTTCAGCTAGCTTTGTTACATCCTTGGCTTCTGGACTATAGGAAAACGGTTCCATTTAGTTCATCCTTTCCTCTGGAATGTTCTTAATCTGATGTTGGCAGATCTGACCTCACTCCCTGCTCACTGTAGAGGGGTTGGCTTGGCTCATGCAGCAGGCTTCCCAAGGGAAGTTTCCAAGCCAATCAGAATGCCCTCTTTTAGCTTCTTGCCTTACACCTTAGGATACTGTCTGAATTGATAGAAATGCTGAACGAACCGTAGGTGGAGTGGAAGGGTAGGAGAGAGTATGCTTGCACTGAGATTTTGTTTCCTATGGACCTAACTTCAAGTTTTTAAAATAAGCCTGGATTTTTTTTTTTTTTTTTAACTCTTCCTGCCATTTTCACCTTGTCTTATGGAAGTGTAATCTCAAGCAAATCATGGGCAATTGGAGGTAGACATCGACTTTAGTTCCTGGGCAATGCCTGATAGTGTTGGCTGAGGCCTGACTTTTACCCTAGTGTTTAGTTTAATTCATCAGTGTACATTTCTTATTCTTCTGAGCTGGCTTCTAGAAGCCAGGCAACTCAACTATATAGAGCCTTTCAAATACTATGGCTTTTCAGATTTTTCTAGTTAATGGACCTATGGGGTTATGGAGGGCACAGTCCCTCCATTCGCTGGCAATGAGTTGGGTTGCTGGTATTGTTGGTCCCACTTCTGAGCTGACCCACAAAGTATTACTATCTCACAGTGGTGTGAAGTACAGACCGTCCTGTTCTCCTGAGACTGAGGGTCTGCATTCAGGAAGAGGCTGCCTAGTATAGACAACTGGGTTGTTTGTTTGTCATAGTCCCAGGGAAGAATAGGAGGTGGCAAAAGTCTAATCTGAACTCGGGATAGAATTCTGTGCGAGAGAGAAATTTGCTACTCTTTCAGTTGAAATTTGGACTTTAAATCCCAAGAGAAGGCACCGGTAGGTCAGTTAATACTTCCTGTTGAGGCTTATACAAAAGACACTGCATTTCTAACAAAGCGTTTACCCATCCAAAAGAGAGATCCTGATTTGGCATATAAAACTACTGCCTTTTCTGGTTATCTTTCATCACTTGCCTGAGTTTGAAAAGGTGTAATAAATGGTTTGTGTTCTAAGGAAAGAGGCTCTTCCCAAGACCTGAGGCTTTCTCATTCCTACCAGCTGGGCCCATTGCTAAAATGCTTTCCAGTGGGCTTGCTTCTGCCTGGCCAGCACCTGGGCTGCCCCAGCTTGTAATTAGCCTGCCTTTGCTTCCTAAGCTTCCCAGGGTGTGGTTCTTCTTCTAAAAGCTTGTATGAATTGCTATACTGTCTCTTTATAGTTTAAAAATGAATCCTTTTTTGTTCTTTGCAACTCATTTGCTTTTTTCTTTTCTTTTCTTTAAATTACTATTAACACCTGTTGATTCTTTTTTTTTTCTGATTGGCCTGTCACTGCATTCCTGCTCCCCCTCCCTCTAGCTGGGTTTGTCAAGTCGCCCATGTCAGAAACTAAGCTCACGGGGGACGCCTTTGAGCTGTACTGTGACGTGGTCGGGAGTCCCACGCCAGAGATCCAGTGGTGGTACGCAGAAGTCAACCGGGCAGAGTCTTTCAGACAGCTGTGGGACGGTGCTCGGAAGCGCCGTGTCACCGTAAACACCGCCTACGGGTCAAACGGCGTGAGTGTGCTGAGAATAACCCGGCTCACCTTGGAGGACTCTGGGACTTACGAGTGCAGGGCCAGCAACGACCCCAAGAGGAATGACTTGAGGCAAAACCCCTCCATAACATGGATTCGAGCCCAGGCCACCATAAGCGTCCTTCAGAGTGAGTCCAGCACCCTACAGTAGTAGTACTGTAGTCATTAGAGGTGGCCCGATGACCCTTCCCTTCTGCTTCCCTTCCTTCTTCCCCAGTATGATCACTCACCCCACCCCTTGTCTTCGTTTTTTTTCAAACCCATGACCCTTCTGGTTGTAGTGTATGAAAACATCTGTGGCAACTTTTTTTCTTCTTTTCTTTGCCGTCCTTTCTGCCTCCCTTATCCCCCAACCCTTCTCTGTGTCTTTCTTCTCAGGAACAAAGAACTTGAGGAAATCCGTGACTGTTCAGAATCATCTGTGTTGGGGAGAGTTGGGGAGGGAGAACTGGGAAGCTTAAAAAAAAATTAAAACTCAGAAACTAGGCAGTCCAAGGAGGGTAGTGTTGAAATGGTTTCTCTCCCTCCCCTTTGATTTTGTAGTAGGTTTCCTGCTATACTTTTGCTGATTTCTTCTCTGGTGCCTTTCTATTTTTGTTTCTCTCCCCAGTCTAACTACCTTTTATTTCTTCTGTTCTTCTGTTTGAAGCTCTCTAAGTAGCTGCCTTCACCTCTATGGTTTTAAGTTTGTGTCTGCCCAGCCTCTTCCCTTACTGTGACTTGGTGTCATCTTGTTCTGTGATGGGAATGTTGCCATGGGTGCAGTGTGGTGGTGTGTTTTGGTTGTTGGGTGGCATGTAAGCTTGGATATTTTCGTAGTTCCAGCTCTTTTTCTTTTCTAAAACCGTAGCATGCGCTTCTCTGATAACAGCCCTCAACTGCAGCAATGTACTCCTCACTAGGCCTGCTCATTAGTCTCCTCTTAAAAGCAGCAGCCTGGGACTTCCTTCATATGTTTTGCTATTAGGAGCCAGGTGACACTAAGCTGCAAATTATTATTTTTAACCCATTTTTTAAACAATATTTTCCCCTTGCACAAAAATTACTATTTTTAACCCATCTCTGTCTGGAAGTCAGAGTTGCACTTGAGTTCTGTTCATGGTTTGACTCTGATGAGTTGCTGTTGGCACAGTGTGTCTTATCCCAGAGCATAGAAACTCCAGACATAGTGTGGGGACCACTCACACTGGCCTTTTCTTTGTGTCTTGAAAAAGGAGGAAACTAACTTCCACCCCTGTTTCTCATAGCGATGGGGTGAGCTGAACAGCTGGCTCAGAACCGTCCCCTTGTAACAAGCAGGTATGCGTGAGACACCAGGACTTTTGTGGCCACTCTTCTCTCTTTCTCGAAAGTGACTTGCTACTTTATGTTGGGAAGCAGAGGGAGGGTGAAGTCACCACAGAACCAGTGTTCCTGGCCAAGAAGAGTTCTGGACCCATATCAGACCTGGTTATAGTTGAGGGGGCATTCTTTTTTGGAAAGATCTTCTGGGTCTTTCGCCTTCTCTTTGAGGACACAGTGAGAGTTCTATAGCTAATTCTAGCTTAAAGAGCTGATTGACCTAGAATAGTAAAATCTTACTTTGATGAGGAATTTGGTAATACAGAAAGTGGTAAGACATGGGCCTTCAGTCTATATACTTAATAGCAAACCAGTATCTGTTCGTTGTAGCCACTTGAAGATCACTGTGGGAAAAAAAGAGTCCTTCGTATGGGAGTGGTAGGAGAGGCTGCTGCAGTTGGCACTGTTGAATCAGAGAACCTGCTTCTGGAAAGAGGAAAAGAAAACCTTGTCTGTGTGAAAATGGGGAACATTAACCCAGTGATTTTTTTTTTTTAACAATATTTTTCCCTTGCACGCCTCCTTCTCCTGCCCCCTTGCTCCTTTCCTTATAAAAGCAGAATTACCTAAACGGCCACAAAGGTCTGTGGAAGTTTGTAGGCATGGACTGGGCTGGGCATTTGCACGTAACACTTCCAAGAGCCTGACTCATAGCTAGAATGGCCATGCCAAGGGGCTAGAAAGAGATGAGGCTTTGGAGTACCTACCTACCAATCCCAAGAATACATAGCATTCCCCCAGTTTACTTAGAAAAAGCCTCCTAACTTAGGGTTGTCTGCATGTGGTTGAACCAAATCCTGGCTAGACTCTCTTCAGTCTTCCCCATCAGTCAGTTAGCTCTAGTTAGCTGTTTTGGAGAGCCAGGAGGTTGCTGCTGCTGCTGCTGCTGCTGCTGCTGCTTATTTTTTTGTTTGTTTGTTTGTTTGTTTTTTTAAAACACCCTGGATCCAACTCTAATTGGATTGTTTTATGATCTCAGCATCCCAAAAGACATTGCCTCTATGGGGAGGTTAAGTGTTCTATCTAAGAATGACCTCCTGGTAGTACTTTCCCCAATGGTCCTTGAGTAATGTAAGCCAGGAAGAGAAGTGTGCCCAGTTTTTAGGTATCTCTCTGGCCATAGCATGTTCTTTATATAAGCGTGATGGCTAGGGTAAGGGTCTGCTACCCACTGCTTTTAAGTAGAAATCAGTAGCAGGTAAACACATTTGAGCTTATCCTAAATGTTCATCTCTCTTGGACTTTCACTGGGCAGTGCTTGGCCACAGAAATAAAAGCCCCACCTTCATCCTGGTGCAGAATGCAGATGAGGCACCATGGCCAAGGAACTAGGTGTAGCGCTAGTTTTCATATACAGCAATCGCAGGAGGCAGGTCACCCTACCCCACAACCCTCCTATGGTGCAGAATCATATTTAAACCTATTTAAATTATCCACTTGCTCCCAGCTGACTCTCTCCTGGATCTTTAACACTTAAGGGAAAAAGTGCTTTCCTTTGCCTTCCAAGAATTCTTGGCAGAAAGTCTACCAGGTTGCTTTCATCAACTTCTTAATCTCCCTGAGCTGCAGTGGTCATTTGCATCGCCACAGGTAAGAGTAGCATTTACTTTGGCCTCCTTGTATTTAAACATCTGGAAGCTCTTGGCCTTATTCTCCGAGTTTACCCTTTCTCGGTGCAATCTGAGAGGAAGAGCCAGAAGGAGAATCCCAAATGGGACACAAAATGAAATTGGATAATAAAAATTCAGTAAAAATCTAAGTGTGTTTGGGTTTTAATGTTGCCTTTATATATTTTTAATTTCTCTTCTGTGGAGTACTGGTTCTATCTTTTTCTCTTTTGTTTTTGCTTGGTTTTGATTTTTCTTGGAATTGTGATGCTTTTTGCTGATGGTGTGTGTGCGCCTTCCATTGCAGGGTTTGCAGCCGTTCTGCTCGACTTCTTAAGGCCCAAGGGATTTGGCTTCTGTCCAGTGTGTCTTGGAAACCATGGGACACCACTGCGCTAACGTGTTTACATGCATCTGCTTCTGTCTTAGTGGCTGCTATGCCTCCATTATCTGTACATAGAGACCCTGTTTGATGTTACTGATAAGGACCAGTGCTGAATGGAAGATAACCGTTATCCTTTTGCCAGAGTTGGAAAATACAACTAATTTGTTAATTGAGCAAACTTAAGGTTTTGCTTTATTACAAGATTCTTCAAAGACATTAACTCTACAAGGCAGAAATGTTACATTGATTAGGAGGTCCTTAAGACATGACATTTCCCAAGTATCCACGACCTCCCCATGCTTCCCCTGTCCCTGAACAGCAAGCAACTTAGTTCCCATGGAGGGAGAGAGTTCTGTCCTCAGGTTAAGGCTCAGCACAATATTGCATAAAGTGGTGAGGGAAGGTGCTGCGAAGCTGTAGACAGGAAGTAGCCAGACACAGGGAAATGGGAAGTCAGTCAGTCAAGGGGGTTTCTGAGAGAGTATTAGAAAACAAACAGCAAATACCTCTTACTGTGGTTGGGAAAAGATGCTTAGTTTAGACTTCACCTGGAAATGTTTGACCAAAAGTAGAGAAAGAACTAAGCCTGGGGAAATAATAAAGACAAAGCACATTAACAAAAGACAACACATGTGGAAATGTCTTGACTTTAATACGTGATGGATTTCAAAGTGCTTTAAAGATGAAACTTCCAGGAATAACATAGTGTGATTTAAAACATTTCTGTTCAATGTATTATAATATTTGACTCAAATAGGTTATTTTTGTAGATAAGCTAGTGATACTATGTTATCTAAGCCCAGGATAGAACCAGAAGGTGAAGTATATATATATATACCTTGCCCTAGGGCACATGGTGGTGGGGTGGTCTTGGGGTGGTTGGTGGGGCAGGGATAGAGAATTCAGTCAGATATGTCTTCTAGGCCCAGCTTTGCCATTAGTAATACTTACGGCCTTGCACAAATCATTTTACTTTTCCAGCTCTTAAAAAAAGAGTGGGATTCAATGAACTCTAAGGGCCTTTCTAAAATTCTAGGAGCCCATAATACCAACACAGTATTGCACTCTAGTTATATTATCTCAGAATGGAATGTGTTTTAAAGTGCAATTCTGAAAGAAAGAAAAAAAAAACAACACTCGTTTTGGGACTAAGTATGGCTGGAGAGGAGTGACTGATGATGCTTTCTCAAGAATTTTGCCTCTACAAAATTGCTTCCACTTCCAGTAGGAAGTTTGCTTTTAGAATCCGCAGTGTCTTTTTTTTCTGCATAAATAATGCCCATGGCTGGTTTGCCATAGGTTTCACATTTAAATGTGGGGAAAGGAATACATGTATTATGTAATGATTACTGTTCCAAGGCCCAGTGACACCATAGAGAGTTTATTATAATAGGTATATGAATGATATGGCCTTTGTCTTCAGAATGGCAAGGTGGAGCCTGGTTTTCTAATTGAAGCTGAATTGTTTGGTGGTTCTTATAAAAACGTGGTATTGAAAAGCATAAGTGGATTGTTACCAGTACAAGCACCCATAATACTCCCATTCTTTCACGTCTAGGCCAACTGGTCTTCAGGCTGTTGTCTGCGCTAGTGGTCATTTGCTTATAATCATTGTTTTTCCTTTCTTGACTTCCTCCAAAGTGGTAAAGTGAAATTCCTCATGTGGTCCTGTCTGCCCTCCCTCTTTTTCTAGTTTCCCCCTCCTACCCCATCCAACTCTCAGGCCAGGGCTACAGAGGATAGAAGGCTATTGCCCCCTATCATTGTGCACTCTTATTACAGAGCCAAGGATTGTCACCAGTGAAGAGGTCATTATTCGAGACAGCCCTGTTCTCCCTGTCACCCTGCAGTGTAACCTCACCTCCAGCTCTCACATCCTTACATACAGCTACTGGACAAAGAATGGGGTAGAACTGAGTGCCACTCGTAAGAATGCCAGCAACATGGAGTACAGGTGAGAAGAGTGGGCAGCTCCTGGGGAGGTGGGAGGGAATGTGGCTGAGCTTATTTGGCATTCATAATCCATAATTGTGCCATGTAGGAGGGACATGAGATATATTTGGTTTTCCCATGGAGAGTCCAATCCAATATCTCAGGTAAGGTCCAGGAGTCTAGAAAAGATTCCCAAAGGATTCTAATGAGCGGCCAGATTCGAGAACCATAGATTCAGCCCATAGATGATTCCCTCACTCTAATCAGAGAAACTGAGGCCATGAAGTAGTGATTTATTCAGGGCAACAATACTACCCAGTAGGAGAGTCACAATTAGAATGTAGTCTGTTGACCTAATCCAGTCAGATTGAAGTCAGATTTGAAGAAACAGGTTGACGTCTGCTTTGAGACTCTAGAGCAAGACATCTCCCTAAGTGATCTTTCCACTGGGTAGATTTCCTAGTGAATTTCCTTTTAGGAGTATGTAACATCACTGTAACCTGATAAGGACCAGCGGATACAGGGCTCTTGAGTGATCTAGAGTGAGGATGGTAGCCTGGAAATACCCTTTGAAGACAGATGGATATTTGCTGGCTGAAGTTACCCAGCACCCAAAGATTTGATGCTTTTTGGAATATCTAGAACACATGGCACCCCACCTTTCAGAGTAGTTTGTTCCTGATTGAAAACTATCTGGAAAAGAATCAGCTAATCCTGCTTTAGCAGGCTAATGCACTAAAGTGAGACCAGGAAAGCCTGTGTGCCCAGTGGTAGCAAAGGCATTCTGCAGGATTTTGCAGCATTGAGATCTTCTCACACCCCTTATTTAATTGATCCCAATGAATTTGTGGCTCCTCCTTTTTTCCCAAGCAAGGAAACTAGGACTGAAAGAGTGACTCTTGGCTGCTTTAAGGTCAAATACTGTATCTAGTAAGTTCTAGAATCAAGGCTGGTTTCTAGGTCCTCTGATTTTCTAGAAAATTTTCTAGAATTCTTTTTCTTTTCCCTGCTTTGTCATCCACTTAGTGGTAAGTTAGTTAACCTATCTCCACTGTAGTTATTCTGATTAAAAAAAAAATCAGAAATTTAGCCGCAGCAGTTTTCCTCATAGTTTTGGAAAGGATTAATCAAATTAAGGTGGTAGGTGGAGTGAAAAGCATTTTTTTTTTTTTTTTAAGCATTTTTTTCTTGTTCTGTCCATTAGTTTTACAGACTTTTTATTTATTTATTTATTTATTTATTTATTTATTTATTTATTTGAGATAGGGTCTGGCTTTGTCTCCCAGGCCGGAGTGCAGTGGTGTAGTCTCAGCTCACTGCAGCCTCTTCCTCCTGGGCTCATCAAACCATCCTCCCACCTCAGTCTCCTCAGTAGCTGGGACCACAGGTGCACACCACCATATTTTTTTTTGGTATTTTTTATAGAGATAGAGTTTCGCCATGTTGCCCAGGCTAGTGTTGAACTCCTGAGCTCAAGCAGTCTCCCCACCTTGGCCTCCCAAAGTGCTGGAATTACAGGTGTGAGCCACCGTGCCCAGTCTCAGACTTGTTTTTTTAATAATACCTTCTTTAAGGTAGCAGACATCCAATCGTGTTTCTCTTGGGTCTTGTACTGTTGCCTGCAAAGCTTTGAGCTTTAACTTCATCAAGTTGCCTGACTTTATAAAATGCTGCTGCTCCCCTTTTTTTTCCCCCTCATCTCTCCAAGGGTATTGTATATCTCTAGAGTTTTTCAGGGATTCCACATTTCGTGGAATAACAACTGATGAGTTCCTTGGGCTACTTAATAAGTCAATCTGAGAAGCTTATTTCAGAACCCTGCCTCTGCCCAGCCTATAGGGGACCCTATCCCTTTGCTTTAATTTCTTCCTACTAGCCAGTCCCAAGGAATGGTGTGGGGAGATTTTGAGCCCATAGGCATAGACTCAAGTGTGGGAGTTGTCTTCCCAAGTATTTCTCATAGAACTTAGAAGTCTAAGGACTTCGGTCCTTTTTCTTTTTTTTTTTTTTTTTTTTTTTTGGAGACAGAGTCTCATTCTGTTGCCAGGTGCCAGACTGGAGTGCAGTGGCACAATCTTGGCTCACTGCAACCTCCGCCTCTGGGTTCAAGCAGTTCTCCTGCCCCAGCCTCCCGAGTAGCTGGGACTACAGGTGCACGCCACCACGCATAGCTAATTTTTGTATTTTTAGTAGAGACGGGGTTTCACCATGTTGGCCAGGATGGTCTCGATCTCTTGACCTCGTGATCCGCCCGCCTCCGCCTCCCAAAGTGCTGGGATTACAAGAACTTCAGTCTTAAGTTCAGGGCTGAGTTTGAGGAAGGAGCAGCAGCTCTTTTCTTCAGGACTTAGACTCAAAGAACTTTAAACCCTGAAGAAAGAGCTGCTGCTCCTTCCTCAAACTCTGGAACATTTGTTGATAAGAGCAGCTGACTTGTTTGTTTTCCAGTTGGGAGCATACTGATGTAAGAAGAGGCACGGTGTCACGTTGAGAAGACACCTTGACTGCTTTTCGCAGAATGTTGTGCTACCATGTGGATAACTTGAGACAGTCCCGGGGATGGGCTATGTCGCTTCTTGTCCGTAATCTCTTAACCTGTGATTCCTTTTTGGAATGAATAATATAAGATGGATAAATGCATTAGGCGAGTGAGTGGTCGAGTTCAGGAATTTTTCCTAGATGTTAAGTAGAGCAGTAGAGATTCACCATCATAAAGTATCATATTTTAACCCCTAAGTAAAAGAGCCAGAGCTCAGCCATGTATAAATATTCTCTGATCTGGAGGCTGGTGTTTTTCCTTTTTTTTTTAACCAATCTTTCTATACATGTTTGGTATATGTGCATGTAGGCCAGAGTGTACTGAGCTGTTGTGTAGTTGGCCCGCAGGGGTAAGAAAGTTTGTTTGGGATCACCCTCTGTGATTGAGATGAAGTGCTATTCTGGCCATATGCATTTCTTTTTCTTTTCTTTTTTTTTTTTTTGAGGCGGGGTCTTACTCTGTCACCCAGGCTGGAGTGCAGTGGCATGATCACGGCTCACTGCAGCCTTGACCTCCCAGGTTCAAGCGATCTTCCCACCTCTTAGCCTCCTGAGTAGCTAGGACTACACGCGCACCACCATTCCCAGCTAATTTTTTGTTTCTTGTAGAGATCGGGTTTTGCCATGTTTCCCAGGCTGGTCTCAAACCTCTGGGCTCAAGCAGTCCACCCACCTCAGCCACCCAAAGTGCTGGGATTACAGATGCGAGCCACTGCACCCGACCCATACAGTCTTCTTACACTCCTTCCTGTTACTCTGCTTAATTTGACCTGAATCCAGGCACAGATATTCACTCTGTGTTTGTGTTCACTCAATAATTCATTCATTTATTCATTCATTCCCCTGCCTCATTCCAGGTACCAGGCTGGGTCCTGGCTATGGGATTGTATGCCAAGTAAACAGTGCCTATCCACATAGAACTTGGTCTGTTGGGAAGCCAGACATTAATCGAGAAGTCACATCAGTATATAATCACATACATGATAAGTACTGTGAAGAAGCACAGAGTAGTGTGAGAGAATTTTGTGGAAGGAGATAACATTTAGATTGGGGCTGGAAGAAACTAACATGTAAGCCAAGACCTGAGGGAAAAGGAGTTAGGTAAACTAAGAGTGATAAGAAGAGCATTCTCTGTAAAGGAACATCTTTTGTGGAGGTTTTGAGGCAGGAACAAGCTCGAGACATTGAAAAACTGAAAAGAGACCACAAGAGCCGGACACTGGCGTGGGATGGAGCTAGGGATAGTGGGGCCAGAACATGCAGGGCCCTGGGGTTGATCATAAGACCTTTCGCTGCATCTCTGTGTCTGATGCTCTGATGGCAGATTTTTTCTTTTCCTTTAAACCATGCCTGGGTCTGTTAGTGAGTAGACTTGTGGAAAGGGATGCTACTAAAAGACAAGGTAGGAAGAACAGAAATACCAAAACAGGGTCTTTGGAGAAGCTCAGAAAGCTTATGCTTTTTGTTTCTTTTTGTTTGTTTGTTTTCTGTTCTTGTTTATCTAACTGGAACCACCAGGTGAACAACAAGTTTTTACTGATGGTTTTATACTGTATATCTGAAAATAAACTATAGTACTTTGGACGTCTTTCTATTTTGATTACTTCTTTCACATTTTGTTTTTCCCAATAAACCAGAGCATCCTAAGTTTAGGGGCCATGTTGCCATTCCATCTTTGTTTTCTTGGTGCCTGGTAAAGAGCAAGACATTAATGTTTTAGGATGCCCAGAGAGGGATTTTTGCTTTTAGGTAGAAGGAGGTGAGTTGCATTGAGTTTGGAGAGCAGGATCCCTGATTACCCCTTTGATTCTCCTTCTGTTGTATATTTTGACTGTTTTCAGTTTCCTCACTTGGTTTTTCTTCTCATCTCTGCAGGATCAATAAGCCGAGAGCTGAGGATTCAGGCGAATACCACTGCGTATATCACTTTGCCAGCGCTCCTAAAGCAAATGCCACCATTGAAGTGAAAGGTAAAACCCAGCAGAGGCTGTGGTGTGAGCCTCTCACTCTCCTTCCAAGGCAGTACTTTGGTCTGGACTCCAGTCTTCAAGCTCTTCTTCTTTCCATGTTGAGACACAATACAATGTTATGGTTAGGCTACAGGCTGGGGAGCCTGGCTGCCTGGGTTTAAATTCAGACCCCATCATCTACTAGCTGTGTGGCCTTAGCAGGTTACTAACTTCTCTTTGCTTCCTTTACCTCATTTTAAAAATGAGGATAGTACTACTTACATTATGGGTTTATTAGGAGGATTAAATAAGTTAATAGATTGAACTACATAAAATTGCTGGTTTTATATGTCAAAAATGTTTGAATGTTGGCAGCTCATATGGCCCAAGGCTTTGTGAAGCTCTTAGAGCAGTGCCTTACAAGTGTGATTACATACGTCTTCTGTGGGTCAGCAGGATTCAGGGGAAAGTACATTGTACAGAGTGGACATCAGCTGTTTGTGGATAATTCATTAGAATTTTAATAAAAACCCTGAAAGATGAGGCAGTAGCAGAAAATTCCAAGAAGGGCAAACAGAACTAAAAGTTGGAACTACCTAACATCATAAATCTTAGCTTTCCTATGTTATTTCAGAGAAGCATCTGAGACCCAGAAAAGTGAAACCTCTAGCTCTCTGTCACACAGTGAGTTTGTGGCAGAGCTAGCCTAGAACACAGGTCTTGAGCCCCAATCCAGTGTTTTTTCTACTATTACAAAATGATGATGAGAAGGCGGGGCTACTGTTTGAGGTCAGGTTTTTTATTTTCAGTCTTTCTCATTGTTCTTTAGATCCATAGAGTTATCCCTGGAAGCTCGAAGGACCAATTTAGGAGAAGGAAAGGGTCCGTATAATAAGTATTCAGGTGTTTCTAAAATATTTGGAAGGTTAAAAATGCAGATTCAAGAAAGGCTTAGACATATTCAAGGTTTCATTATATGGTATTATTAAATGAAAGTAATATCTTAGTGACATGGCTGTAACCTGTGAGTTGATGTAGGGATGGCCACTGCCTCCTCCAACTGCCAGTTTAATCCCGAGTGCCTAAGGGAGTTACAGTTGTGGGTCACAGTAGGCCAGGGAACTCAGCATTTGATTTCTTCAGTGGCTTTTCTTGGAGAAACCTTGGTTTCTACCCATTTTAGAAGAATGCCGCATTTATTCAACATGAGGATGAAGGGTGTGGGAAAACATTTTCTCTAAGCCAGTAAGCCAGGGAGGGCTCTCCGAAGCCTAGGTGAGCTGAGTTGTGTGGGGAGACCTTCTCTGTGAGACTTGAGGCCCTGCAGCATTCCTGGCTGAGCTTTCGGCACAAAGTCCAAGTGCAAAGAGGCCGGGTGGGTGAGGGAGGGAAAGAGTGGGGTGTCTAGTTCATTGTGCTCTCCAAGCCTGAGATAATTAGTCCTGACTGTAATCGTTAGTGACTTTGAGTTAATTTCTTTTTTTTAAGTACTACATTTTATTATTTACTTTAGCAAGCAAATTCTTCATATACAAGCTTTCATTAACTCCTGTGTTGTGAAAACAGTAAGTGAGTAAAGATTAACTGTGTAGACAAAAGGCAAGGGAGATTTAAAGTACTGAAGAAACCCAATTGCTTTCGAGCACTTCACATATAACTTGATGTGACAAACTTGATCAACTACTTAAACTGATTGTAAGTCATTATTTAACACAAGAGCTCCAAAAACTTTATTTTAAATGCCTATAGCTAGCTTCACTTTAGTTGGTAGAAACCAATCTTCATTAAAATTGTAATATCACTAAATGTATAGCATTTTATTTTAGGTTAATATAAAACATCAACTTTTCGGGTATATGTTAACACTGATTCTTCAGTAGGAAGAAGCATTCCTTAAGTAGACATGTAAATTTTAGACTACCTGGATTCCTAAATAGCTTCAGGAATAAATCTGATTAGTAAGCTAGAAGTGTTAGCTGTGGTTTTTTTTTTTTTTTTTTTTTTTTTGCCATGTCAAGAAACAGTTTAATATGAGGGAGTGTATTTTTTTTTCTGGTCTTTTTAGAAAAAATTATTTAGTTATTTATTGTACTTTAAGTTCTGGGGTACATGTGCAGAATGTGCAGGTTTGTTACATAGGTATACATGTGCCATGGTGGTTTGCTGCATCAGTCACCCCGTCATCTGCATTAGGTATTTCTCCTAATGATTTCTCAGCAGCACTTTCAAGAGTGGAAACAGAAATGGTTTTTTCATTTGTTTGGCTGCTTGAGAAGGTGGGGTTTAGTGGTCCTAGAAGCATCTTTCTTTATATTCTCTTAAGCAGGTAGGAAGCAGCGGTCGCCAGGGTAGTCCAGGAGTATTTTCAGAGCAAGTTACAACTTAGATGTTATGTTGAAGGTGCTTACTATACGCTGTTACATTCTCACTGTACAAATAGCCCTGTGAAGAAGGTGAGGCAGATGGTGGTTATCATGGTTTTACAGAAGTAGACCTTGAGAGAATTCTGTTTTATAAATATCCTAAACCATATTCTGGACCACCTTGGATATACTGTGTGTTTGTCTCTCAAGAAAATTTGTAAAGAATTCTAGTCTGTCTTTTCCTCTCCCCCCAACACCTGAATGTTTAATGTCTTGTCTTCCAGGTTATGGATATTGAGTCTGGTAAAGACTATGAACACTTCGCTTTTTCTTTATAAATTTTAAAGGTTTGCCATAGGCCCAGGATCGTATTCTAAGCTAGCTTCCAATTGTGGCTGAAGTAGAAAAACTGCCTGCATTTAGAGTAGTACACATGTGTATGTTAGTTCCCAAAACATTTCAATAGAAACTCTCATTCCCTTATTGTCTTTCGCGTGGGGATAAGAGACAGTCATCTTTTTATAGCTAGAGTGATTTGAAAAATCTGCTGAGTAAGAGAGAGTGAAGAGGTAGTTGTACTTGAGAACAGAGAGGGTGTGAGAACATCAGTGGCCTCTTGGCTGAAAGGAGTTTCTCAGAATCTTCCTGTGTGGCTTGAATTGAATCAGCACATCAGGGCATATAATCCAGACCATGCATATATATTTCTTCAATGTCTTTTCTGCTCTCAGCCATTTCTTCCCCATCTGGCTTTTCCTGTCTTTCAGAACACCTCTGGGGTGTTGTCTGGGCTCAGCACTGCGGGGAGTGAAGGATTTAGCCTAGCCAGGGACTGGGCATTATCTGTCAGATTACCAAATCTTGAGCTATCTGTGGTCTACAAAAGAAAAAAAGGCTGAAGGAACCAGAGAGAGGGACAGTGGCCTGGGAACAGAGCTAAGGTGACCATGCTTTTTAACCAAAGCCTGTAGATCACCATCAAGAAAGGAATTTGGAGGATAGGAGTATCTATGTGTAATGGGGAAGACCTTGTATCTGAAGCAGGTTTTTAAATTCTCTTCCTTTTTTTTTTTTTTAAGGACACAAATGGGGCATGGTATAAACAGGAAGATACTGTTGAGGATTAACGTTTCTCAGGTATTTGGCAGGTGATCTGCACAGATGTGGAGAAGGAAGATGGAGCAGGGCTGGTCAGGAGAGGGAAGACAGCAGTGATGAGGCCTTGTGGAGACCAAAGCCCAGCCTCCCTGGGATCCACTCAGCTAATATTGAAAAGGGCATCTCTTTCCTCAGCTTGTACTCTTCAGAGGGTGTGGCTACCAGGGATTGCACACTGTATAGAGAATTCATGAATGAATAGGTATTGAAATTTTCTGTCCCTATAATTGTTCAGCCTTTCGCCCTTTACTCTTCCCTCTTCCCCTTCCTTCCTCTTCTAAAATTAAAAAAAAAAAAAAAAAAAACTCTCACGAAAAAGCAAATTAAAAATCCCAACCACATTCGCACGACACTTTCAGCATGCACAGCATCTACACCATCCTTTCTTCACTGACATTCAGGAAAGGCAGCTAGTGTGATAGGTAAGGATGTGTAGAGGTTGTGACATCTGTTAGGTCAGAACTGATGCCAAAGCAACCTGCTTCTGACTCAGAATTGCCACGACTTGAAAAGTCTGAAGGCAAAATAATAATATGAAGTTGCCAGGCCATGTTGAACATCCACTTCAGCCCATAAACCATACCTGCACTTTCTTTTCCTCTCTCCAGGGTGCCGCCCTGACCTTCCTTAATAAGAACAGGAATATAGCTAACATTATTGCACACTTACTATGGGTCAGGTACTGTCCTAGGTGCATTATTTGTTCCTTTTCTCTCCTCGAGTCTCCACAACTCTATGGGATAAGTGCAATTATTATCTCCACTTCCCAGGTGAGAAAATTGAGGCTTGAGGGAATGAAATAACTGGCCCAGTGTGACTGAGTTAACTGGTGGAGCCCAGGGTTCTCACTCAGGCACCCTAGCACTAGAGCCTGTGCTCCTAAGCATCAAGCCATGGTGCTCTGTTGGGCATGTAACATTTAAAAGGCCTTGGATTAAGAGTTGGGAGAAATGTGTTCTCATCATGGCCCTGCCATTAAACACACTGTGACTCTGACCAGTCACATCCCTTCCCTGGATCTCAGCTTCCTCAGATGCTTGATGTAGAATTGCCCATCCTTAAGGTTCCTTTGTTCCGTGTGGCTCTGATCATCTGGGTTCCCTCATGTGGACAGAGATGAGAGGTTGTGTGTTAGTCAGGGTTCCCTAGAGGGACAGAACTTATAGGATATACATATATATAAAGAGGAGTTTATTAAGCATTAACTTACACGGTCGCAAGCTCCTACAATAGGCTGCCTGCGAGCTTGAGGAGCAAGGAGAGCCAGTCCAAGTCTCAAAACTAAAGAACGTGGAGTCCAATGTTTGAGGGCAGGGAGCATCCAGCACGGGAAAAAGATGTAGGCTGGGAGAGGTTAGTTATTGAAGGAAGTGATTTCCAAGCCCATTTTCCTAGTGTTATTGGAAAATTTCAGTTTGTCACTTTCATAGCTTGGAAAGTCATCTGAATGACTCCCACATCTCTACCTACTCATCTCTCTGTCTTGTGGCAGTATCTGAC